TGATTGGCTAAGAGCCTAAACACAATTCTCACTGTCTGGTCCCTACAACGACATTAAACAATTATTAGCTTTTCTTCGGCCGATAACTTTGACCTCGGTGTGATAATACTTGATATCATGCTCAGCCTCATCCAATAGTTGTTAATAATTTGTTTTTTGACCAAATATATTTTATAAATCTGATTTAAAAAACCCTCCCAGCGGACAAAGTTATTTAAAATCGTTACCTGTTTTTGGAAACCTTGCGCGAATGACGCTAGTCCAAGTGCCGACTTTTCGCTGGAGTGTGTCATAAAAACTTTAACAAATACGTTATCAGGAGTATAAATTGGAATAACTTTCTCTGGGATTGAAGGAATATTTATGTTCTGCAGCTCAAGCCCATGGTTAATTCTTTCAATCTTAACGGTGTCATTGTTGTTAATTTCAGGTAAAACAATTTTATTTTTTTCCTTATGGTTACTTGACAAACTGCGTTTCCTTTGCTTTATTTCTTTCGAGGATTCATTGTCCGCACTCGTCGATTCTACGTTTTCTATTTGTTCCAGAATATCATTGACGATTTTTAGACCATTCACATTTGGTTGGATGAAATAATATGCCTATATGTTGAAGAAAATCACCTGAATTTGCATTTCAATGCATTATAATGGCATACAGTTTTTACGATAACTTAAAAGAAGGGAATGACGAGAGAAGCATTGCTCGCTTTTAGGAACATTTGAACATTACCCTAACTTATATTTCGCTAAATGTTCGTAAACGCAATCGTTTCATAATTTTTAAGTGTCTACTGTAAATATTGCGCGCTTCAGTTCAAAAAAGCTCAATTAAAAATATTTCTATCTTGCATTTATTGCATATTTTAGAAAGATTTCAAAATAATTTACTGACTTTTAAATTTAATCTATCCATGAATTTTTCTTAAAAATACAACTAAAAGAGATCAAAATCTTTATAGCTTTCCTCTATAACTTATACGAAAGTTGCTGATTTCGACAACTTTACCCAAAATGTTTATATCAGTGAAATTTTCAGTAACAGTGCAAATTTCTGTAACAACCATGCAAAATAGAGAAAAAAACTTTGAGGAAAACTATGGAAAACAAATTTCCGCGAGTTTATTTGAGAAATTAGCTTAAGAAAAGAAGAGAGTGTTATGAGCTCGTATTTGAAGGAAGAAGATCATAATCTTACACACGAGTGCATGTACGAAGCTGCATGTTATTACCATTCAACTTCAAACCATGGCAATTTTCCGTCGTATAACTGATAAGTGCATTGTTTCACACACGAGAAAAGAAATGCACTTTTGAGCATTTTAAAGGATTTTTACTGGTTCGTTGATTAATTACAGAAAATATACAGAAAATTACTGAAAAAGCTTACCTCAAATTTAGCCCCAATGTTGTTTTCAATTCGATGTTTCATGTTTGTTGCAGCAATTGAATCGATTCCAAACTTGTACAGGCCGAGGTTTAAGTCCACTTCAGAAGCCTCACTACCTGACCACGAACTCAGCAAACGCCTAATAAAATCTTGAACATTTTGAATTCTCAAATCCAACGGTAGCAGTGCTAGGCTCTCCAATGTCATGACATTATCCACGGCTAGCAGCGTTTCTTCTCGTTTCCATTGGAACCTCGGAGAAGTATGACTTCTAAGATAAACTTGCCAATTCACAGGAGATATGCAAACTTGAGCTTCGTTAAAATTTTTAAGAATGATGCGTTCCATAAACTCAGTTGCTGAAAAAACAAGTTTTGCAAGATTTAGTCCTGAAAAATCAGTGCCAAAATAGGCGAATAGTTATGTGTACTTATTAACAATACAATGTTACTTCAATGTTATGACAACATTTTCGTGCCAAAGGATTGGCTGCCATGCAATGCAATAATGTCCTACTGAGTAATTTCATAATCTGGCTAGCTTAAGGGATTATTTTCTTGATTTGAAGTTGCGAGGAGTTTTGCAAGAATGTATTTCAATTTGCTATCCTGAATATACCTTGCGTATAGTGAAGAGGAAAAAATCCGTATGTTTCCAGGACTGATGTGATATCCGCATTTCTTTCCAGTACTCCAGCACCACTAATCGGTCCCCAGTTAATAGACAAAGCAGGCAGGCCAAGCTTGTTTCGACGATATTCACATAGTTGGTCTAAAAATGTGTTAGCTGCAGCGTAAGATGCTTGGCCAACATTACCAAGAACTCCGGATATTGAGGAAAACATAATGAAGAAATCTAGATCCATCGTAAGACTGAGTTGGTGAAGGATTACACTCCCTATTGAAAAAAAGGAAGATTGCATTTTTTTAATTAGAAATGGAATTATAACATAGCATTTGTAGTACGCGCGTGCCGATTCGTCGAGAAGCGTGTTTCTATACACGGGAATTTTCCCGCCCAACTTGACAAACGAAGCGATGTAATGAGAATTTGTAATCGAATTATAACATTTGTACAAAATCTTTTTATTGAGTTATATTATAGATTAAGAAATACGAAACTTTTTTTCCTGTGTTTCTATATAGTTATAGAAACACTTGTGGGAGTTTAGGAGAAGTCGAAATAACGCTACCAGAGATCGTGTATTGAAAAGTGAAATGGTCGATCTAGTGTACAATTCAATAGCGTGAATTGCCATGCAATGAAAAGACTTACCTTTCACCTTTGTCCCTACAACATTTCTGCATGTCTTTAAATCGGCTTTCTTGAGAAACTGGTCGGCCAATACCATAGCGGTAAAAACGATTCCAGCTACATCAGGTAGACTTTCGAGTTCGTTTTTAACTGTATTCATTTCTTCCCAAGATGTTACGTCTGCTTGACGTAGAAGGATACGAGATCCAGTTTTCTTCTCCAATTGTTGAACCTCCGAAATCTTTTCATCACTTGGTTGTGAACGCGCTGTACACACGACTGTTTTTGCCCCATTTTCAACCATCCATCTTGCGATTTGGAACCCAAAACCTCGAACGCCGCCAATGACAAGATAAGTTCGATCATCTTTCAAACCATTGATGTCAAGTGGTAGATTATAGAAATCAACCTGCCCAGGAACAGTCTCTGGCTTCACAGAAATTATGTTTAAACTAAAGTTCCCTTTTCGCTCAACTTCAGGTAGGCATCGGTTATTGGATTCATCGCCACGTTGCATAACATCGTAAATGCTGGATGCTTTTTGAGTTATATCTAGAAGCTTGCTCCAAAGCCCTTTCGATTTCAAAACTGAATAACACGAATCTAATAGCTTAGAAAAATCGGTAGAACTCTTAGTAATGTCTTGTAAACTAGTCAAAATAAAGTGGACATCTTTCACGTAAATCCATGGATTAAGCATCATAATTTCAGCTCCGTCGAGGGTACATGTAATAACACTAGCTCCTGGTTTAAGATGTTTCAGTATTTCACCTGTGACATAAGCACTGCTTCTACTCAGAAGGCAAACAGCATCAAAATCTTTACAGCTAGTATCCTTAGGTTCAGCTTCCGCTACTTCATTTTCACTTACAACCAATAACTCTCCAAATCGATCTTTACTAGACTGACTGTGAACAAGACACACAGCATTTATACCAATAGACGCGGCAACGCAAGCAAAAATGAAGCATACTTCCTCACTTTGATGATATACAAGAACTTTCTTATCACCTTCTATTTCACAAAGAAGATTTGTAAGAATGTAGTAAGACATTGCCATGGGAAATCCAATGCACACAGCTTGTTGAGGGGTGAAAATGGCTTTTATCTCCGTGAAGCAGGTTTCCTCTGCAGCAACATAACTTCCAAGATTATCAATTTTACAGATGCCAAACACAAAGGGATCATCGTTTGCCTCCAGTCCATTGCACATTTTCCCAGCAATTGAAATAAGATCGTTTGGTTTAAGATCTTTCCAATTCTTATGAAGGATAGGACAGGCATAGTAGACTTCAATTTCTCCAATCCGTTCTTTCGACCCTTTCTGTAGAAACCACTGACCTGACCAACTCGCCATCTTTACAGGCTTTAGTGCTCCATCTTCCTCCAAAGGTGATTCGCTTCTCGTACATTTGGACCCGTCAGGATCAAATTTTTGAATACGATTGACATACCGTTCACCATTCCTATATACAATCTCTTCTTCTAGCAATGTTTTTTCAATGTCGTGTGCCATTGCATGAAAATCTTCATCGCTAGGATTGACCGGCAAATCAATCACAGAAGCAGTGGGGACTGTGATTTCTTCTGAGAAGGTTCTTCTAAATCCAAATACAGTTCCAGACCATGGGAACGTATCTTCACCACTTCGTTCTAGTTGAGGAATTGAAATCACGCCTGAAGTGACAAACACAAGCTGAATCTGTTTGAGATACCCCTCTCTGTTTAAAATTTCTTGAGAAATCAAAAGACAGCTCTCAAACGCAGAGCTATGAGCAGCATCAAAGTTGCGCGCATCCATATTGAATTTGCTTCCATCTACAGGCCAGAAATTGATCACCATTATCTTTTGATTAGCTTCTATTTTAGCCAATACTTTATCTAGCGATCGGGAAAATGCATCACGAGATTCATCTGAGGTATCTCGTTTGTCAACAAAATCAACACTTCCGCTTTGCGGGACATGCTGTGCAAATCGTTCAGCAAACTTACTTTGGTCTCTCAGAATCAGCCAAACATAATGCTCACGAACTTTTGAAGAACCAGACTCTAACTGCTGCCAACCAAATGTGAACACTGCGTTATCAAATTTCACTTCCTCTCGATCTGACAGTATTTCTTCTATGCTAAACTGGTCAATAATCATCAAAGCACGGGCACACTGATCCAAAAGGAAAATGTTAAACGCCTTTCCTTTTTCTGATTCTACGATCTTTGCGTAAGCATAAAACTGCTGCGTGTACGTTGCCTTTCTCAAAATGTTGATGCGCTTAATCTCCTTTGGTACAGCTTTAACAACAGATTTGATGTCCAACAGAATGGTTGTCTGTAAACATGCATCAATCACCGAAGGATGCAAGACATATTCTTCTGTATTAACGATTTCTTCAGTCGGGCATATGAGAGAGAGGGCTTCGTTGCCACTGGACCACGCTCTCACTATCAAATCAAACTGAGGACCGAATGCGAATCCCGCAGTCTCACGAGCTTTAAGAAAATCTGCCCTTGACCATTCTTCCATTGAAGATTTAAGAATTTCAATATCGTAGATATTTACTTTTTGGGAGGCTTCTAAAATAAAACAGATTTGAATAAGCGTTAGGCTAAATGAAGATAAGCACTACGCTTTCTACCTGAACACGAAGCCTTGTAGTGATTGTGTCGTCGTTTAGGTGCAACCCAGAAGTTATAATAATAATAGCTGCCATTATTTAGTAATTAAAACACGAGAGAGAGCGTTGATATTTAAACCGCGAGGCGCAGCTAAGAGTTTTAGATATGAGAAAACGGGAATGTTTTAAACTATTTCAAATACGCCGTATACCGGCTTCACAGCTCATAATCGATGAGTAGCAAAACAAAATGGCCGATAGTTTTGCTTGAGAGAGATCAAGAGGAAATGAAAACACTTTTTGAATGTTCAGTTCCCAGATATTTAAAACAAATCAAGAAAATATGAGATAAAAATATTTAGTGGTAAATAGAACTGACAAAAAGCGAAAAGCTTCATTCAGCGAAATCATTCAGCGAAAGATTGACTGAAATTAAATCAATTGCCAATGTATAGTTATATTTTTATGCAATGTCTATTTCGCTCATAAAATGGTAGTTATAAAATTATAGTAGCTATATTATAAAACAATTATACCACTCGCTCTCGTTGTACATGGCTGATAGCCATATCAGTCATATACGACTCGAGCACGTCAACTGCATTAAAAATCGTAACACATCATTATCAAGCTTTGACGTTATAAATGACTACCACTACCAGGAAGGATTTATATGACTGCATGCATTTAAGTGCCTATAACATGGTTGCGGTATTTAAATACAGCAAAAGTTTAAGGTATTTTAAAAAACTTTGCAATCAGAGTTTGTTATTCACATTATAATTCTTGGATTTATTAGCCTTTATATTAACCGGACGTGCATGATGTCAAATTGGAAATGGCAAATCAGTTTTCTTTTGTTTAATTGAGTTGCAAGTTGACAAGCAAAACATAAAAAAGCGAGAACGTTACGAGAGTTGAGATAACCGCGCGAAACCGTGGCCGAAGGCGAGCAATTTTGCGAGCTTTTCTTAGCTCAAACAACATTCCCAATCGATCAGGCCATCCAAACACAGGAAGCTATCAAGTAATTGTTTAATAACAAAAACAAGGTAGTGTTATATATCTATAAAAAAAAGTTATATAGCTATAAATCTTTTAATAAAATATTTACCTTTCGATCCATATCTGTCATCAATACCAAGCTGAATGGAGCCTTGAGAGACAGTTAGTTCTCTCTCGTCCCTTTCCACTGCAGTGATCTGAAATGATTTATTTTCACCAAGGGATTTTTCAGGTAGAAGACGTGTTCTTATCTTGTGCGAATCATTCTCGGATATAGACAGTAGACTATCGAAAGTGATGTTACGAACATCTGGTGCTGCCCGTGGAGACAAGTGCAAAGACATGGCAAACACCATCTCTATATAAACAGCGGCAGGTATCAAGGGGTTTGAAGATTGAGAAAATTTGTGATCCTGGAGATATGAAACATCGTGCAAATTGATTTCAGATTCCCAAGCCTGCAAACCACTGAACGTTTCCGTCGGCACTGCTTTACCAAGAAGAGGATGGAATGTGTTGATTTCCTTATTTTCTTCATTAGTGTTGTGCTCATCGTAAAATGTAACACATTCTGGTGGACGCGCTTCGCGGTACCAATACTTTGTCTCTTGCCAAGGATATGTTGGACGGGGGAAAAATGTTTTCGATCCAGAGCCTTGCACTTTGTTCCATGATAAGGGCACACCATTTACGAAGAGACTAGCCACGCAATTTTGAAGAAATGATAAGTGCTGGCTTTTAACTGATTGTTTTGGGAGAGTTTGAACTACAACGACGTCGTTTGAACGTAGAGAATCTGATGGATGATTGTGAGACCAAGTCTGACGAACATGGTATGAAAGCTGAGGTACTGCGTTTATTTCAATGAAGAACCGGTGACCATCCGAAAACATCTTTTTTAATACGGGCTCCAGTAAAACCGCTTGTCGGATGTTACGCCACCAATGGTCAAGTGATAAGAGACTACCAGGCAACTTGGTGCCGGTAACAGTTGAATAAAATGGCAAATGGCTTGAAGTTTCACAAACTTTGAATTCCTTTGTGAGATTAAGGAATGCTTGCTTTATTTCATCCATTTCTCTACTATGGTATGCTCGGGTCGTAGTGAGTTTCTTCCACAAAAGATTTCTTCTTTCCCTGGACACATGGTTTTCCACCAGCTGCATTGACCTTTGGCTACCAGATAACACAACATTACCTGGGCTATTCACGGCGGCAACGTCGATCTCATTTGTCAGTTGAAGATCTTGCAGCATATGTCGAGCTTCCTCTTCTGTCATCCCAATGGCAGCCATACAACCTGTTGGTGAACATTTCTCGTGAAGTTGAGAGCGAAACAAAACCAACTGCAAAGCTTTATTCAAATTTAATGCTCCAGATGCCCAGGCTGCAGATATTTCTCCAAGACTATGACCAATAACTGCGGACGGTGAAACACCCCATGATTTTAGCAGCTTGGTTAAAGCAAAATGTATGGCGAACAGAGCAGTCTGTCCAATTGGGTTTTCATGAATTCGCGACGTTTCTTCAGGTTTCTTGAGCTCAGAAATCAAGGACCAGGGGGCATGGTATTGTTTAAGGAGTGCGTCAATTTTTTCAATGCTTTGCTTGAATTTTGGCTCGTGAACTAGCATTTCTCTCGCCATACCATACCACTGTGCACCTTGACCACCATAGAGGAATACGGCTTCACGACGCGGCTTAGCGACGACCCCTGTAGCCACCAATTCTTCCCATCCATTCTCCTGATCAGAGAACATATCCAATGCCTTTGCTGCATCTTGAAATGAATAGAAGCTAATCGCCAAGCGATGGAGTTGAATTGTGTACCTTTCGTTGAAGGAATAACAAATATTATCTTTAAGAAGTTCGTCGTCATCAGGCTTTATCTTTAGCGATAAAGACACTTTTCTAGCCATTGCTCTCAATGATTCTTTCGACGCTGCCGACAATGTTAGGACTCTGTTGGATGAATTTCTGCTTGGGATTATAGTTGTTGGCCTCGCTGTTACTTCCCTAATGATTGCATGAGCATTTGCACCACCGAATCCATACGAAGATACCGCGGCGGTTCTCGGCTTATCATCCTCGGTTTTCCAAGGCTCATTGGAAACTTGAACAACCATTTTTCTCTGAGACATCATGAGCTGTGGTTTAACTTGTTGAATATTAATAGTAGGAACAAATTGAGCATGTTTTATCATCAGACATGTCTTGATTAGTCCAGCTAAACCTGCTGTTGACTCCGTATGGTTTACGTTTGATTTCACTGATCCTACACGAAGTAATCGTTTACCACTATTGCCATAGACTGTTGACAGCGATCCCATTTCGACGACATCTCCAACGGCTGTACCGGTGCCATGTGCTTCCACGTACGTTATATCGTCCTTGGTCAGACCTGATTCTTGAAGAACTCTCCTAAAAAGAGCGGTTTGTGTTACCTCACTAGGGGCTGTCATTGGAATGGCGGTTTGGCCATCATTATTTGTTCCGCAAGCCACGACCTCTGCATAAATATTATCTCTATCCTCTAAGGCTGTTTCGGTTGGTTTTATCACGATCGCAGCTACACCTTCACCTCTCCCATAGCCGTCACCTTTGATATCAAAACATTTGCAACGACCATCTTGGGCCAGCAGCCCAGTTCTGCAGCATGCCGTGTGAAATTGGTTTCCAATAAGAATTATATTAGGGGCGCAAATTATAGCCGCGTCACACTCGCCAGTTTGTAAGTGTTGAAATGCAATGTCCAAAGCAACCAAAGATGAGGAACAAGCTGTATCCAACGCGATGCTAGGGCCAGTTAGGTTCAGCGAAAAAGAGATCCGGTTGGCTATAACTGACATAGAGCAGCCAGTTGACGAGAACTGATCAATCTTTCTAATATTCGAAGGATCAAAAACAAGTGCACTATATTCCGTGCACATAGATCCGACATAAACGCCAGTTCGACATTGTTGTAAGTCCTCAAGCGGTATACCGGCGTCTTCAATCGCTTCAAAGACAACTTGAAGAAGTATTCGCTGTTGGGGATCCATTGAACGGCTTTCGATTGGAGATATTCCAAAAAACTGAGCATCAAATCCTGTAATATTTTCAAGAAATGCGCCAGTAAGGATGTAATGCTTCCCTGGCGTGTGCTTCCCTGGGTTAAACGAATCTGTGAACTCCCTTGCGTCTGGCCTGTTCATTGGATACGAGCCAATACTAGATCGACCTTCCACCAACATATCCCAAAATGCATCTTTCGAGTTTGCCCCACCTGGAAAACGACAACTCATTCCCACAATGGCAATCGGATTGGATTGCTTGGTTTTTGCGTGTAATCCAGATAAACCTCGGCTTGTATTTCTACTAGATTTGTATCTTTTTGTAATGTTGAACCACTTTATGATTGACAAGTCAAGGTTACTTCCACGAAGATTAAAGAGCTTTCCGAGTAGAGACAGGTACACAGGTAGTATAACCAAACCATGAAGTAAACCAAGAAAAACGATACCAACAAACATTTTGAAAAATGTCTGAAATACCATGGAGGAGGTAAATCCCGTTGGCATCATTCCAAGGAATGTGCTAAGCCCACCTAAAAAAACACTTCCGCCTACTTTGCTTAGAGCATCGATGACACGGAGTTCGGGAGTTGTTGCCCGGGAGGAAACAAAGTGGAAAGCGACATGTGCGTTGTAATCTACAGAAAATCCCAAAGCCATAACAAGATTAATCATAGAGATTGAGTTCAAAGAGACATTCCAGATGTACATTAGACCAAATAGTTCAAATATAAGAGCACCGAATCCCCATATAAGACAAAATATTACTACAAAGTGATTAATAAACAGCCAGGATATCAAAATAATTGAAATTCCAGCAACAACCAAGTTCCTGATGGTTTCATTAAGTACATGAGCATACTGTTCAAAGTATATAAAAGGCAAGGCAATAGCAAATGCACGAGCATCCGCTGAGTGGAGATCCTTTCGAATGCTCGCCATCATATTTCTTTGAAAGTTTGAGTCAGGATCACTCTTACAATATACTAGCATCCTTGAAGCCGTCAAATGAGTTTTATCTTTCGAAAATTTTACATCCTGGGCAAACCTTTGATACTCCGGGAGTGAAATAAACTCCTTCAAGTAGTGATGGAACATTCTGGTATTATCGATTTTGATCTTTCTATTCTGTGCCCACCATATATATTGGGATAACCACGATATCCTTCTTGGAGAAAAATATTGGTTACTTTCAACAAGAGTTTCGACTTGGGAGTATATTTTCTGAATTTCAATGCTCGAGTGATCAGTTTTTTCCGGGAAAATTATGCTAACTTCGATATTAAGGTGAAAGTTTTCTTCATAAACATTTAGGAATTTTCGGAAATGTGAATCTTTCGTTGTTAACCACTTTCTGTTAAAACTTTCATCGAGGCCAAGAACGCCATAAATTCCAAAAGCTAGGAGAAGTAGTGAACCTAAGAACACAAAGACTTTTCCAACAGGTGAAGTAATTAGTTTTCCCCATGCTTTCATAACGTTGTCAAAGCCACTTCTCCGAATTCCAAAGCAACAATCAGTTGGAGGACGACTCATTAGGCAAGGCAAGAAATCTCTGCGTTGAGCGTTTATCCTTTTGATATCAAACCACATGCAACCAACAAAAAATGTCAGCAACAGAATGAAAACAGATGAGATTGCAACAGCTGTGTAAGTGCAGAAAAGACGAATCGAAGGGAAATGGAACTACTGCTAACGGCAAATGCTACAAGATCAGTAAGGGTTGTCATGGTAATAGTTGGACCACTTCTAGCCATTGTCCCGCTTAGCATATGCGTCGAGGGCAAATCTTGACGGATCATTTCATTAAGTTCGTGTAGGATAATGAAAACATCGTCTATGCCGATACTTACAACCAAGAACGGTAGAACACCAACCATGCTGATAAAGGGAACACCAACAATCATTAAAAGGCCAAGTGCACTCGTGACACCCAAGTAAATGGACAACAATGCACCATATCCTAACAATTGATGACCAAAACGAGCATCACCACATCTTCCATTCACAATGCCACTAAGAATGCCCATGATTGTAAATGTTACTGCGAAAAACGAAATATCAGAACCAGTACTTTCTGATACAGAGTCGTCCAAGCTTCTTTCTGCAGCATAAAAAACATTCGCACAGGTAGTGTTTTTTGAAAATGATGATATTTTTTTGAGGTAAATACTCTCCCAATCCAAAATGTTCTCCTTCTCCTGTCCATCTCTATCATATTCTTTCATATAGTAAGCCATTCTCAGCGCATTTGTGGAATCAAGTGAATCGCCGGAAGCATTATTTCCAAAAATTCTATTAAAATTATCGACGAGTCTTCTGCCATTGGCCATAAGAAAAGCATCATTTTGTAGAACGGTCTGGATACGTTGTGTAATATTGGCAACTAAGTTTTCCTTTTGATAACTGAAAATTTCTAACAGGTTTGTTGAAGCACAACTTCTATTTGAGTTTTTCCTATAGCAGTATTCGTCGTAGTGATCTATATCTGTAATAATGTTGTGTAAATCAATCATTTCTGCCAAACATTCTTGCGACAGAACGGATTTGCCATGTTTAGGCAAAATAACAACCTCTTCTTGTCGTACTTCGAGTTCAAACCCTAGACTTCTCGCCTTTCTTATATCCTGTGATGCTTCACTGTTTTCAGGTAGGTACAAATATTTCACATTTTTGTCAACTTTTAACATTGCAAAGCCACACGTTAGGCCAATAGTGACAAGCAGACAACAAAATATTACTCGAAAAGGTCGACGTGAAATGAAGATAGCAGACATTTCAAACAGTTTTTCAAGAAATATGATCAAAATCATCTGAACCCAAGCCCATTTCTCTCTGTAGCAATAACGTGACTTCGAAACATGGCATCCCTCATGCATGATGTCAATATTATCAGCATTGCTCTTTGTCTCCGAATTGAAGCTGTCAAGAAGGTATAAACAATTAGCTACACTCAACTTATTAACACGGAACGCCTAGAATGGGTACCCAAACCCAATTTTATCCGTGCTCGTACTACCATGCAGTACAAAGGTCGAGCGCAGTCAAATGGGCAGGGGTACCTATTTAACAGTGCCGTGCAAGTAAATCGAGAGGCAGTGTAAACCATTCTTTATTTACGGGTTGCAAC